CTCACGGCGCTTCGCGCTTGGTGATGTGAGAGCCTGGTCCGGTGAGAACCCGGCGTGCTCCGTCCCGGCTTTGTAGGGGTGCGAGGTCAATGGTCCAACGACACGGCATGCGTCTTCACTGTACCGGTTTTTGACCTCCTACTATAGTGCCTGCTGCCGCACACGTTAGTGACTGGTCAAATCCTACGTCTGTCGGTGGGCTGGTCGAATTGTACGTGTGTCGTATAGGTGGACATCTTCAGGTGATGTGGCGGTGCCCCCCCCCCTCGCCGCACCGGCTTGACCTCCTCATGCAGTGCTTTCTGCGGTACGCGTTTGTGATTTGTTCCATCGAGGTACCGATCGAATTGTGGGTGTGTCGTTAAGGTGGATGGTAGGGTATCGTAGACCCATCGGATGTGCACGTCTATCGAAGATCCCTGAACATCGTCAACCGTACGTCTATCGCGAACCTTTCCATGTACTATATCGTAGATGTATCTCGACTCGTCTGGCTGGATCTTTCGCAGATCTCTCGAGAGTGTACGTAGATAAACAAAAAATGCTTCACACTGACAACACCTCTTTTTATTGTTTTACATGAGTTTTCGAGAACGTGTGGGTTTGAAGATATTCGCGGAAATTGTTCGTGGAGGCCAGCAGACCTCAAACGTAATCATGGGTTGCCTTCGTTCCCCTTATCCTGACCGGATTTCTTGTCCCGAACGCCTCGAACCTTACCATGCGCTGCATCCATATCCTAACCTCCTTATGCCTATCCTGAATGACCACGTTGAGCAGGGTTTTTGGAGGGGACCAGGTGACCAAGATTATGGACAGCTTCAGACTCAGCGATGACATCCCGATCGAAAACAAGCAGGTACCGTGTAGGGTCTGGTATATTAAGGGTATGGGTAAGGGTAAGGGTTTGGGTTTACCTGTCGATCCGATCAATAACATATGCGTGCTCCGCTTCCTTTCCTAGACTTGTCGGGTTGCTTCTGCCGAAAGGGTGAGATAATGGTGACGAGTTGGCGCATTATAGTAGTTGGGAGTACTCGCGAGCGTTGTTGGAAATTCGGCGAAGACTGGTGGGTTTTGAAGTCACATAAGCATGCAGGTTTTCACGCTTCTTCTTCGAGTTCTCTTCCACCCGTGCTCCGTATCAGCCGTGCTCCGGATCAGGGTAAGGGTAAGTTGACAAAAACGATACCAAGCAACGTAGGTCAACACAAAATACACTTTTTTGTCATCGCACTTCTCATGTGCGTGGCGGTGAAGCTCGGTATAGACTTGTGTATACCATCTTGCCAGACGGTTTTCGACTTGTTTATATTATGATGAGAACGCATAAATCTGTCGAGTTCATTGACCCATTCATTCGTCGCTTGTTCTTTGCTTGTTGCAGGTTTCCGCCACGCTGGACAAGGTGCAGATAGCGACCGAAGACTATTTCGCAGGTATCCGGAGAACCGTCTTCTCCTTCGACGAGGTGGGTGGACCTTTTTTTCGTTTTTTGAAACGGAGTAGGACGTACGTTTGTCCGCGTCACTGGTTGGACCAGAACGGGTGTTGAATACTTGGAAGTAGAAGGTACGGAAGCAGAAAACGGGACGGTTTTGAATGGTACGATACCACGGTGTGATGTGCGATAGTCCGCGTCACTGGTTGGACCAGTGCGGGTATTGAATCGACGGTACGGAATAAAAAAACGGGACGGTTTTGAATGGTAAAAGACTATGGTGTGACTTGCGTTAGTCCACGTCACTGGTTGGACCAGCACGGGTGTTGAATAGAAGGTGCGGAAGCAGAAAACGGGACGGTTTTGAATGGTAACATTCCACGGTATGACGTGCGTTAGTCCGCGTCACTGGTTTGACCAATACGGGAAGAAGGTGCGGAAGCAGAAAACGAACGGGACGGTTTGGAATGCTAAGACAAGAAGAAGAACGAACCGACGGCAATACCGAGCAAAACTTGTCAGGCACGGGGTAAGCTGCACGTGGTTTGTAGCAACGTCTTGACCCGCTGCATACGGTAGACGTGACGACAGTTTCACGGGAACGCAGTGCCAACAACCGCTAAGACGGGCACGCTTACAAAAGGCTTGCCGTCGGGGAAAGTGTGCCACGAGCGAAGTGTGTCTCATGGTCATGCCACCTGAGAATGAAGAACAAGGCATGCACATGCCTGCATTCTGTACACAACAGTGGCGGCGACACGACATAAACAATCGCTATCGTCGAAACGGAAAAATCTCTCGTGCATGTGGGCACGAATCCAAACACACTGGTGGTCCCGATGTAAAGTGGTATGTATGCACTGTAGGGGCAAGAGGAGAATTTGCCACTATTCAGGGCAGTGCCAGTATTCGATACATCGGGTTCGCGTACATGCTGAGGAAATTGTGACAAGAGATTCTGATGCCACTACACATATATCGGGAGTTGCACTATTGAGGGTGCCATTATATCAGGACCACTAATGCACCACCCACGTAAAGATGGTGAGTCGTCACAGAACAAACAACAAGATTCCTGCACGTTGGTACGGCTCACCGACTGCACGTTCGGTCTCTCTTAACCTTCAGGTGATGAACGACCAGAGGCTTGCGCTGTACCGGGCCAGGGATGACGTTATCGACAAGGAGCCAGAAGAGATGAGAGAGCTCGCGCTGGAGTACTCTGCTAAGACTTGCACGGAGATAGTGCAGGGGTGAGAGAGAGAGAGAGAGAGAGAGAGAGAGAGAGAGAGAGAGAGAGAGAGA